ATGGTGACATTCATTTTATCATATGTGTACGTGTTTGGCTCAAAAAGTTCAATTTAAGAAATGCATGCATCATGGTCGTGAAGCAGTCACGAGAAATTGCCAAGATTCAGTTCAAGATTTTGGAAAATGCGGAACGATAATCAATAATCGAAGATAGCCATTTGATTGTTCATGGTATTGGCAGTCTAATGGCGTTTACGGCATGTCTGTATGTCTATTCTGTGATTTTATATGATTTTTTGAACATATGCCGTTTTTGGTCGAAAACTCAGAAATCATGACGTCACTAAAACCTCGATATCTCAAAAATTTTCCGACCGATTTTTTGGAAACTTTGTCACAATAAACTTCAATCAATTCCCTACAGGTACCCAAAATTTGGCGCGCCTGCGGCGCGCCGTGTTTATGCTATGGCCCGGCGAAAAAAGTGGGGGCGTTTAACGCCCCCCCCAGCAACTCGCGGGTTAAGTGAACCCACGTCGTGCTGGAAGGCGTTTTTACGCCCCCTCAGGGTTTTCGCGGATATCTATAAAAAACGGTGGCGCTGCCGTTTTTGGTACACCTGTTTATACATCTTTTCCACGCATGTGAAAATTTCAGACCCATTTCGTTCAAGGTAAGGTCATCAGAGTCACGTCGTGACCTAATCTCAGAAAAAAGGTAAAAGGCTCGCTATAGCTACATCGACAGAACGATCACTTTGAGACTTTCAGCGATTGATAAGAATAACAGTATAGATAAAATGCTTATCTCGGATTTTTTTATCTATGTGACCTAAAGTCAGGTCAATTTTAGGACCTCTCCATTATAAGTCAAAGGGAGAAAATTGAAATGCGCCTCTTTTTCACCAATGTCGTTCAAAACCCTCCCAAACATCGATTCATAGGTGAACATAACACACTGGATCGGACAAATCATGCATCTGTGAGCCCTCTCTGTGCCCCTGAGGTCATCCCAGGTCGTGAACGGTCACCAGCAGTTTTTTGGCTATAACTTTTGACAAAGACGTGCCCAGGAAGGGGTCAGGGGTCGAGGCCAGCCAATGCCAAAACACCGAACGTAATAGCTTAGCCCGGACTCACTTAGCAACCTTAACGGTAATGGTCATTTCACGATGGAACCGTGCAAATTATATTAGCGGGATGTTGCGCCATCCCTAGTCACCTCCCACCTCCGCCAGCGCCAGGTCGTGCCTCATCACGGGACAGGTAGTGCCACCTAGGTGCGCCGGGGAGAACTACGGGTCGCATAGTGCCACCAGACGTCGCGCACACACGACAGGCCCAGATATATGGAATTTAGAACGTGGGCGATATATTGTAACAGCGTTGATTTCTACCATGAATGTATTTTAGCAACTTACAGCGTGGGCGCAGGCACTGGAACCACAACGGCTACCACAACTGCACGTAAGTAAGTCCGACATACGACTTATGTTGGACTCGCGGCAACGCTGCCCAAGCGGCCTTTTCCGTTAGGACGCCGAGCGACGGAGTGCGCGCAGCGATTCTTTTTTCTTTTTTTTTTGTCTCCCTCTGTTCTTTCTAGGGCGTCTTTCAGAAGAGCCCAGGAAGGGGTCAGGGGTCGAGGCCATCCAATGCCAAAACACCGAACGTAATAGCTTAGCCCGGACTCACTTAGCAACCTTAACGCTAAAGACGTGCTAGAGTGGTGAAAACACGTCAGATGTGTTCAGCTCGACGATTCGAATAAACTTATATGCAACATGAGCCTTTCCGGTCAGGTTATGACCTTGACTTGAGATCAAAGTTAAAAAAATGACTTTTCAAGATCAAAGAATAGTTTATTCGACGTGTCTCGACGAGAGGAATTTGATGCTGTCAAAGGTAATGTTGTGGCTCTCTTAAGTCAAAAGTGATTACCAAAAAACATTTTTCTTGAAAACGGCCATTGTTGGATTTTTCCCTCTGGAGGCTCAACCGTCGACCTGAGGTCAAATCTGAGAGCAATGCTCCGAAAGGTCAGTAAAAGGGCTATCGAATGCGCTTTTCCACGGCGCTGTAGCTCTATTGGTTCCTGAATAAACCGTTGGCAGTTTCCAAAATTGTTGAAATGGATTAAATTTGACATTCGATGACCTCTAATGACCTGACCTTTGACCTGACCTAAATATGACTGATGTGGTTCTGTCATTATTTTTGACGCTCTTTCGATTACCGCTTACTGCGTGTCACTTCGTGGCCCAGGAGCCGAGTTAGACGGGGGTTTAAAAAGGCCCCCCCCCCTTAGCACGACACGACAAACACATGCCACCAGCATGGCGCCGGTTAACTCGCGCCGTGTTAGCAATCTGAGTTTCTTGTGTCATGCGGGGGAGGGAGGGGTAGCGTTTTCTCGACTCCAGGACCACCTCAATCGGTATGCAGTAAGCAGCATTCGAAAGATCGTCAAATATAATGAAGAAAAAACCTCAGTCATTTTTTAGGTCAGGTCAAAGGTCAGTTCATCAGTCGTCATCAAAGGTCGAATTTTGCCTATGTTAACAATTTTTGACAAATCGGCTTATAACGCGGGAGCCAATAAAGCTACAGCACCACAGCTACAGTCTACAGTCCGACTCACATATAACACAAATAAAGCTACAGTTCGACACTCATACCATTGGCGCCTAGTAGGCTGATGCTGCTGAAACTGCTGGAAATGGGAAACGCAGCCGTTTTGTGCGAGTGTTGACTGTCGACACTTGTACTCACGCGGATTTGCTATGGACTTACTGCTTACGGAAATGTTTCACAACAAAACTTTGGCAGGATAACAAAAATTCTCAATTTCGCACTGTGGGGGATTTTTGGCCGTCGTAAATTCAATATGTTTCCCGGCTCCGCGAGCAGTTGCGTTGGATGACGCCTCGGCAGATGGCACCGACTCAGACGCTTGAACTGATGCACAGGGTGCTGCGGCGGGGTGAACCAGACCCACTGGTCAACTCGTCTACCCGATGCTGTGAAACTCGCCAGAGAAATACGCGACACTGGACGACCTCTTCCCAGGCCGAGGAGAGGACAGAGGCCGGGAGGCGTCGTTTCGCGTTAGAGCGTCGGACCTGTGCAATTCGCTGCCTACCGGAGTCAGTGAGGTCTGAGCTGTCTTACCAACGTTTTGTGTGAGCAGTGAGAGCCCCATGTTTGACCTTGTGAGAGGCCGTCTCTGCGTATTGGTCGTGGGATGTGACCTGGGCTGTGAACATGTGTGAATGTTTTTACTCACCAAGATTCTAACGTTGTGCCACGGGATTGTGGCAGAACGATGCTCTGCCGAATGCTTGAGCGATAATAAGCCGTGTCTCTCTCTCGCTCTCTCTCTCTCTCTCTCTCTCTCTCTCTCTCTCTCTCTCTCTCTCCCTCTCTCTCTTTCTCTCTCTCTCTCTCTCTCTGTCTCTCTCTAACAAAATACACTCTACAACACAATGTCATGACTTTATTGATTCATGAATCGCAGCCGTTAATCACTTCACGAATATTTTACAGTGGATGAATGGCATGCGACATTTGACTATTCAGGACTAACCGAAAAGTCCTTCGCAAACTGTTATCCGTGACAACCAAGTTGTAACTCGATTGTCTTTCATATCACGAATACAGCCTCGCGACAACAAGTTCATAACAACACCAACAACATAATTAACAATGAGAACACGTTGCCAGTATAATGTAACTAATAATTGAGCATGTGGAAAGAACGTTGAATCAAAAGAAGCATTCGCATCATTTTGACATGATGACTATTGAAGCACCATTTATATCGGTTCTTTCATTTGAGGCTGGCCTATCATCACTTTAAAACACAATTTTACTGTGTGGACCACGAGTCCTCAAAGTCCCTCTGGAGCTGGTTCATCCAGACCGAGTGGTCCACCTCCCACTCGTCATTGTCCAGACCTCTGCCGGACTGGCTGAGCTGAATGGCGGCCGCGGCGACGGCGACGACAACAACAACGGCAACCACGACGCCGACGACCGCGCCGATCGGACCTGTGGAAACGGGAAACAGGGGCATTTTACTCTGGTGTAGCTGGTGATGAAAGGAAATATTTTGCAATGCATGAACTAGGAGGTTCTACCTAGAAAACGGAGACTATGGAGAGGCTTTCGGAGAAATTGGAGAGTACCATGGTGAATTTCTAATTTTGATATGATTAACTTATTGCGTGATATTATTGGTAAAAACAACAGTACTCACCAATTCCAGCAAGAAGGCCTGCGATGCCCTGACGTCGGTTAGATCCTCCAAATCCTCCAAGAAGTCTGTCGAACCATCTGCAATGACAAAATGCAAGCAGACGTTAACTGTTTCAAATATTCCGACGCCGTTTCACAATCATCTTATGTGATTCACGCATGCTGTGGCCGCGAAGTGTGTTTTGATGCTTTTTCAGGTTTTTCTTATTTGGCCATTTTACATTCACACTGAAAACCAAAATGAATCTCCTGATGCCCTGATCATTGAAGTCTATACCCCAATTATTCCCTTTTGATCTCTTCATTATACCTATGGGGTATATTCATGGAATCGCAATTGGCTTCATATTCCCATGATATTCCCTCGTCCTCCATGAATTATTGATTCTCTTAATAAGCTCTTGATATCACCCTGTGAGAACCATATTATGCCATTGATACCCCAAATGATTCTGCATGATTCCGTGCGTATAAGATGCTGTTGATACCCCAGTCGCTGATAGTTATGCCTTTATGATTCTCTATCTTTTCTTGCAATATACCCTTTCATTGCCCAGAGGGTATCTTGCCGGAATCACAGGGAGGCTCATATTCCCTTGAGATGCTTTCATATTCTTCTGTTATGCTTCCTTTGCCTGATTCTTTCAAAATACTCTTGATATCACCCGAGTAGAACCATATTATTCCTCAATGATTTTTCGTTGGAAGCATCAGGAACGCGCCAAAGGTCCGCCATTTTTCTCCGCCATTTCCGGTGATCAGTGAAGAGCGGTGTTGGGTGCTGTGTGGTTGCGAGTGGTGCCATTTTTAGGCTGAAATTGAGCCTTATTGAGGGTGAGTACCATCCTTAGCAGGAACTCATATGACGATGAAATGCTTGGATTGACTTAGGCCCTTGATTTTTCATATGTAGTGTTCTTCTAAGGTTGCGTGTGAAAACTGGCTCGTTTTCCCTTGCGGGCTAAGAAGTTACGGCGACCTAAAACCCCAATACACTACACACATAATCTAGTCAACGATGGTATGTTACCTATATACAAACATCCCATTCCGTTTCTGTCCGCAGCTCTGGAAAGAGATGGAACTTATCGCTGGTAAGCCTGTCCAGCAAGAGTACGACGCCGCCCTGGGTGCTGTTTTGGACAAGGTAGTGGAGAAGACGTCGCGCAGTCGAGGTGAGAATGCACTTGCGACTTAAAATGCATTTTGTGGGGAAATGCGCTTGCAATATTATGCTGATGATATTGGTCTTTAATAATTATTGGTGCTATGTGCTCAGTTCAATTTCAAATATTCGCTTAGTTGCGGTCAGGTCACGAAAGGCCAGCATGTTAAACCACTTCACTTGCCACATGAAGTTACGAGTCCACTCGTCCAGTCCAGTAAGGGACCACAACAATCCACTCGTGTTGGACGTGTGGATCGCTTAGTTTGTTCTGGCATACAATTTTGTGGCGAGGACAAGTCAACAAATTGTGGGAAAAAAACGTAATATTTTAAAGCAAGTATTTTTTGCATTTAAAGTACATGTTTCGTCTACTAGAAACTGCTTAGGATTCCGACTGTGTATTCCGTTTTTTTTTTTACTGTGCTATATAGGGCGTCCAGAATGAGTTCGTAAAAGTGACTTTTTAGTTAGAAAAAATGGCATCGCCGCATTTTGGATCGATTACGGTGCGCATACTGTTGCACGTAACTTCGCAAAATATCGACACGGTGTAGCTTCCAGCTGCATCCCTGGACCCGTCAGTGTGAATAAAAAATATCCTCAAATGAGTAAGTGATATGTCCGTCGTCCTCCTTGCCTGATCCACAGAGGACGCGGCGCTGGTACTGCTGGGCCTTCTGGGTGAGGAGGGAACGGTCGTCATGGAAGCGCCAGCGGCGACGATGACACGTCCCCTGATACACGAGCGGGAGACGAGTTTCGACATCGTGGTCGAAGGAACAGTGGTGGCCAGCGCCCAGTGCCTTGAAGAGGCACTCCTTCTCTTCGGGGTCGCCCACTACGTCTTCAACCAGAAAGTGTCCCGCTCCCGTGCATCGCGCTCCACGATGTGGTTCATCGTCCACGACATCATGGGGCTGCCGGCAGAGTCAACAGCGACGGCGGACGCGCTGAAAAATCTGTCGGTGCTGACAGCATAGTGTGCCCGCGCAGTGAGGTAAGCCCAGGGGCGGAGTGGAGACGGAGTGATGGACGGAGATGATGGAGACGGACGTGATGGCCCGCCCCACAGGGAAAGGGGTCACAAGCGGCATGGGCGGGCCTGTTGACATCCTGTGGCAGCCCCTGGGCTACGTTGTCGGGCTTTCTTGAGGTCAGGGAGGGGAACTCGTAGGAGCCACACGCTCAACTTTCGTTGTGTAGCAAAGGTGGGAAAAACCACGCCATTTGAAGGGGCACCGGTTGTTTTGCGACTCCTTCGTAAGAGGGAACGGTCATCGTAGAAGAGCCAGAGGCGCTTCTCGTGTGTCATGTGTTTTTTACAGCCTGGATCTCAACATGTGATATGGCATTTGTTATAGAGGCGTGTGCGTGACGTATGTTTAATATGGATAGTACAAATTGAATGTCTCTTGGCAACTAGGAAGCTGTGATTTTGAAATGAATGCAGAGGCAGTTGTCTTTCCAATCAATACAGTACGTTTTTCTTATACACACAAGCGTATCGTGGTTGCTGTTGGTGTGGCTGAGCGTCGATGGCATGGGCGGATCCAGGAAATTCAGAGGAAGGGCGAAGGTGGTTACATAAATGGCGTCTCTTACCTTTGTGTGGGTAAATAAATCAGTGCGCTAGGTATCTCATGGGGATCTCACGAGGAATAGCATGACCCCGCGAGCCCATCCCTTGATCCGCCACTGCGGAACGAAGCATCAATGGCGTATATAGAGAGCATCAAAGGAGCATCAAGGTGGTGTATAGAGAGCATCAAATCAGCATCAATGGGGTATATAGAGAGCATCAATGGGGTATGTAGAGAGCATCAAAGGAGCATCAATGGGGTATATAGAGAGCATCAAAGGAGCATCAATGGGTTTATAGCAAGCATCAAAGGAGCATCAATGGGGTATATAGAGAGCATCAAAGGAGCATAGATCGGGTTTAGACGGAGCATCCGAACTATGCTAGGGGGCATCAAAGGGGCATAGAGGAGAATCGGGGGGAATACACTAGGCATTTCGTAAGAATAATGGAGGCATAACCAGATAATCATTTTGATTCCACTTAGCCATCCAACAGGCATATTAGGGTAATAATGTTGGGATATTGGGGGTATCTAAGGCCAAAAAGGTGCTACTTGAAGTATATTACGGGAATAATTGGGGTTTCGTTTTAGACCATTCTCCTAATATCACCCCCCCGGAATCATTTTAGTTTTCAGTGCACCTTAGGACACATCTTATCCGCACATGTTTTTCGCATTTTCGAACACCGATTACCGCGCATTTCTTCGATTTTCCGTCGATTTTATCGACGTCGATTTTCCCCGAATTGGTGTGTTACGATCTAAGCACCACCCCTGTCGCGGGCTAACACATACCCTTGACGCCTAGTAGGCTGATACTGCTGCTCGTAGTAATTATTGTAGGCACCGGGGGCCGACTGGGCCACGGCCTGTGGCTGGTAGAAACCCTCGTCGGCAGAGACGGCGGCCACCACGGCCAGCAGCAGACACACGGACAGCTTCATGGTGAAAACTGAAACGCAAACAAATCAATGACGCCCACATGTAGTGACAACCAGATTGGGGGAGGTGCAGTTGACTATACATATAATGATATTCCTTTCCTCAGAAGCTATCTGTTCCCTGTAACGCTAAGGTGTGCCGTTTATCACGAAACTAAGCGTGTCGATGGTGAGCATTGGGTCACAGCATTGAACTGCGAACTCGGCCCGTGTTATGCGGCACAGCCTACCACTCCAGGCAACTTATTGATTGTGGAACATCATTCTGCAGTCAACGGTACAGTCAGTTTTTAAAGTACCGCGCAACAGTGCGAGGGATCCATCAAGCCCGACCGTGGAAGGACTGCTCAATTTGAGCCACCGAAGCAATTGACATCCTCGTGCATTCCCCAGGTCAATTGGTTCGGTGACTTTTAAATTATAGCAGGCCCTTCCTCGGTCAGGCTTGATGGATCCACCGGTACTTTGCGCGGTACTTTTAAGACTGACTGTACATTGAAGCAGCCATCGCACCACGATGGTAACAGCAGCACCATTCTGAATGTCTTATGATGAGCTTCATGCAAAGCAACATAGAAGTCTTCGAAATCAAGAGTTGATACAGCCGATAGGTATCACATCGCCACTGGATGACACAGAACGATAACAGCACTACTCTCTGCGGGCCCGCTGACACCACACTGGGTCTGCACCACTGCACCACCACACCACTGGTGAGCCGCGCTCCTCGCTGGAGCGGCTGTAGGAGACACTGGTCAGTCGGCGGCCAGCCGGCCGAGTCTGAGTGACGGCCGGCACTGCGGCGCCACCAGTGCCCGCCCCGTCCTCCTGAGTCCTCACCTCGCTGGCAGGACCACCGAAACAGAATGGGATGGTGAAACGGGTGTGCGCAGCGGTTAAATACCCTCGCTGTCTGTCCCACGGCTTTCACAAAATCTGGCTTGACCAATGTCATTCACTGTAACTGAATGGTATGTTATGCCTAAACGTTCTCCGTTCGGCGCGGAACATATGTTTGACATTGGATGTATTATATACCTACCGTTCACGCTTAGCAGCTTGACATATCTGGTACGCACATTTTGTGAACATTTTAGGCCCAGATCGCTCAAGGTCAGGTCACCAGATCACGTCAAGTGACCTCACCTCACAAAATTTTAGAATGCTCGTCATAGCTACACCAATTGAATGATCACCTTGAAACTTCCAGCAATTGATAAAAATAACAGTAGGTATGTATAACATCTCTGTCTCGGAATTTTGATATCGATGGCCCAAGGTCAGGTCAATTTTGCGCCCTCTGGATGAAAACAACCCCCCTGCCACTAATAGGGTTAAGGTCAAATTATAATCAATTCGACGCGTCTCTGCAGAGGAACATGATACTGGCAAAATAAATGTCGCATCTTTCTTTAGTAAAAAAAAAAACGTTTTCGTATAACGGCTCTTTTTCGAGTTTATGCTCTCTAGTGGCTAAACTGTTGGTCCATAGGTCAAATCTTAGAGTTATTCTAGAAAGATCGTTGACCCGGTCGGGTCTGGGGGTAATCCCAGTCACCTTAGCCGGGGGAGGGGCGTTTTTTTTGCCCCTTGTCTAACTCCGTAAATAAGGGAGCTATGGAAATAAAAGTTCGAAAGGTCTGTACAAGAATATTCTGAAGCATCTACTTTTTACTTCAGGTCAATTTTCAAGGTCAGGGGGTCAAGGGCAAAGGAAAAATCGTCATATGTTTATTTATCTCAAATCAAGTGTTCCAGTGGACAGTAGGATGCATAAAACCGGCTAAAAAGGATTGGAAATGAAAGAAGATAATCTGAGGAATCTGATAATGTGCCCAAAATTCAGGTTAAGGTCAAAATCATGCTTAAGTTTGACCTCAAACTTTGCATGTTACATGCTACAATACAAGGCTGCTCCAAGGTCAAGGTCACGCAAGGGCATCCTTGCTAGAGGTTATTTCACTGATTAAGTCAGCAATCATAGTTCAGTCATTTTTGCTATCCTGAGGCTCTAAATGAACGATTAATTTTTGGTTTACTCACTCCGGTGTCAACCGGGACAGCCAAAATCGGCCACCTCTGCGATTTTGTTCAAACTTGGTATACTTATTGGTTATTGGGTGAAACCTCTGAAGGTGAAAGGATTTTGTCATATGCCATCGGGCTACAGAGATACAAGCCGCTTAACCCGCGAGTTGCTGGGGGGGGGGCGTTAAACGCCCCCACTTTTTTCGCCGGGCCATAGCATAAACACGGCGCGCCGCAGGCGCGCTAAATTTTGGGTACCTGTAGGGAATTGATTGAAGTGTATTGTGACAAAGTTTGAAAAAAATCGGTCGGAAAGTTTTTGAGATATCGAGGTTTTAGTGACGTCATGATTTCTGAGTTTTCGACCAAAAACGGCATATGTTCAAAAATCATATAAAATCACAGAACAGACATATAGACATGCCGTAAACGCCATTAGACTGCCAATACCATGAACAATGAAATGGCTATCTTCGATTATTGATTATCGTTCCGCATTTTCCAAAATCTTGAACTGAATCTTGGCAATTTCTCGTAACTACTTCACGACCATGATACATGAATTTCTTAAATTGAACTTTTTTAGCCAAACACGTACACATATGATAAAATGAATGCCACCATCGTGTTCTACGCAACAAATTACCCATAAAACATGTGTCACAGGTTGCGAATATCAGTTTTGATTTTCGGGGATATGTGCCTACCCGGTTGACCTGACCTTGACCCTGACCTATGCTTGACTGACCCCTGCATGGAGCTGACACTCATGTAGGCCTTATATGATGAATTGTGCGCCGTTTTGACAGAGTTTATGACGAGAGGCGCCCATTGCGAAGTCCTGAAGTCCATGCTACTGAAAGCCCGATTTCAGGTGTTTGACCTGACCTTGACCTGACCTGTGACCTCAAAATTCAACTTTAAAATACTCATCTGAAGCGTCTCGTCGCGTTCTTTCGTTTGCCGCCTCGTGCGTTTCGCTGCGCCTATTGGTTCTCGAGTTATCGGCTGGGGGCGTTTAACGCCCCCCCCCCCCCAGCAAACGGTGGGTGGCGAAATACCCCAGCAACTGCCGGGTTAACTTCTGCTTTTTTAGCAGAATTGGACGTGTATTGCAACCTTGAAAGATCTATAGCTTCAACATTTTTGAAGCTATTAATTTCAAACAAACTGAAACGTGTACATAAGGAGTTATGCATAGTTGAATTTGGCAATTGTTACATTTTTTTTTGTGATTTGGAATTTATTTTATTTTGATTTAATTTCTTAAAATCTAATTTGTGAAAAATCGGTACCCTTCGATTTTGCTGAAATTTAGATATTGTCTTCCACTACACTCAAAGCACACGTGCTGAGAAAATTAGAGTGGGCCAACGATAACTTTGGATGATATAGCAACAAGTAGTGCAACGTAGCACGGCCGATGGAAGGGGCGGATTTCGCCAACCCCACCTGTTTTTCGCCAATAACTCACGCCATAGTTATTGTATTAACGTCACACTTTCAGTATCTGTCCAGAATTGAATTGCGAATCCTCCCGTGCAAGCAATAGGTAAATCTGTCCACAACTTTTCTAGTAATAGCGGTGTAAAGTCAAACATCTTGC